CTCATGCTCTCTCTCTCTCAAATAAATCTTTTTTTTTTTTTAAGGTTTTATTTACTTGAGAGAGAGAGACAGTGAGAAAGGGAACACAAGCAGACGGAGTGGGAGAGGGAGAAGCAGGCTTCCCGCTGAGCAGGGAGCCCAATGCAGGGCTGCATCCCAGCACCCTGGGATCACGACCTGAGTGGAAGGCAGACGCTTAACAACTGAACCATCCAGGCACCCCATAAATAAAATCTTAAAAAAAAAAAAAATACTGAAGGCTGTCTTCTTGTCATTTAAGTAACAGCTCAAATGTCACCTTTTTCTGTAGGGCCTTTGCCACCCACCCCAGTTAAAGCCATGTCACATGCCCACCCTGACCCTCTCTACCACAGGATCCTAATCTACCTTTCTGGTAGCACTTAGTAGTTACAATGTTGTCTACTAGTTTATCTTCTATTTGCCTAGAACTACAATATATAAGATCCACTATTCTTGTTCACTGTGGCACTCGCAGAGTCTAGAAGTGTTAGTCATATACTAAAGCTTTCAATGAACATTTTGGAAACAGCTAGTTCAAAAGGCAACAATGCACTCCCCTAGTTCTCAAGATGGTGACTCTACTCTCTCGGCCCAAAGTTTAGACTCGACGTTTGTTGAAGTTTGCTTACTCATCCGTTCAATCATTCATTCATCTACTCAACTCCAGTCACCAGCTGACTACAGGATACCTGAGACCGGACTACAGTGACATGCAACCGGAATGGCCCATTTCCTAATTCCCAAGGTGGTGGTGGTGGTGGTTTTAACCTAGCACTTGACAGAGAACTTAACTTCTGCCAAATCTGTCAGACTCCATTGTAGTTAATGGCCATCTCGGATTTGCATGTGAGGTTACATGATGAGGAACTCAGCAACTCAGCACCTCAAGGCAAAACCAAAGACCTAAGAAACATATTTGCAAGCACCCAACCTCTTTTATCTACCATCCACAGTTGTGTGCACACAAATAAAAAATAAACACCAGAGAGTAGATGGGGCTTTTCAAAATGCTGACCTCCATTTTTTTTTCTCTGTTTCTAACCTTACAAGCTGGTGGCAGGCACTGTTAAACAGTGGAACACTTTCGGAGCGCCTGGGTGGCAGTGGGTAAAGCCTCTGCCTTTGGCTCAGGTCGTGGTCTCAGGGATTGAGCTTGGGATCGAGCCCTACATCGGGCTCTCTGCTCGGTGAGGGGGAGCCTGCTTCCCCCTTCTCTCTCTGCCTGCCTCTCTGCCTACTTGTGATTGCTGTCAAATAAGTAAGTAAAATCTTAAAAAAACAAAAAACAAAACAAAACAAAACAAAAACAGTGGAACACTTTCAACTTAAGGAGATCTGTTCTCAGGTAAAGAAGCATTAACAGGGGGCACCTGGGTGGCTCAGTGGGTTAAAGCCTCTGCCTTCAGCTCAGTTCATGATCCCAGGGTCCTAGGATCGAGCCCCGCATCGGGTTCTCTGCTCAGCGGGGAGCCTGCTTCCTCCTCTCTCTCTGCCTGCCTCTCTGCCTACTTGTGATCTCTGTCTGTCAAATAAATAAATAAAATCTTAAAAAAAAAAAAAAAAAAAAAAAGAAGAAGAAGCATTAACAGTACCCTGGGGGATAAGCTGAATCTTGATGCCAAAGGGAAGCAGTATAACACAGGTGCTAGGAACTCAGACTCTGGAATCAAAAATGTACCAAAAATAAAAGGTACAGATTCAAATCACACCTGCTAATGACTAATGAGCATTAGACACGTTTATTTCATGTTACTTAGCTTAATTGTACTTAATTATATAGCCCTTACTAGGTACAGGGAGGGTTCTAGTTTGCAACTATAATACAATAATCAAATAAACCAGATGTACTATCATTATCTGTATCTTACCGGTGAGGGAACAGGTACAGAGAGATCAAGTAATCCGCCCAGTCATGGCTGGGGAATATTAGAGTCAGCTTTCAGGTCCCGGTAGTACGACGCGAGAACCCAGTTCTTAAGCATCATATTGTGTTTTTTCTCCAATCCTGTTTCTTCATCTATTAGAGCCAATAGGTCTGCCTTATCTCACGGCATCATGTGGGATTACTGGCACACAGTAAGGTAAATGTTAGGTACTCTCAACGGCAGTAGAAACTGCCATCATTCTATTATTTACCTTCACCTTTGGTCCAGCTAAGGGCAGAAGAAAAGTATTTTGGCTGAGAAAGATTTCCAAGGCCCTCTGCAGGAAAACACATTGACTATATAATAGAATACAGTATGGTAGAAGAATAGAGTAGAAGTTCCACGAGAACGGGAACTGTCTGCTTTGCTTATCATTGTATTTGAAGCAAGTGGTGGGTACTCAATGAATATACATGGAATGAGGTCGGAATAAATTGAATGCACGGACAGGGTTCTACAGACATGACAACTAAAGCAGTACCATCACTTCTCAAATGTAGCTAAATACAAAAAAGGTAAGTTTACAAGGTTCTCAGAGGACAGTGTTAGCAGGCCATTATTTAAGATAGCTTGGCTACTGAGAGGCAGTGTGGTATACTGCTTTTCATTCATCTTAGCTGAATGAACAAACGAGGACACCTGGATTTTAATCCTGACTCTGCTACTGGAAGTCACCCAGGCTTCCAAGGTCTTAGATTATCCATCTGTAAAAGAGGAGGCTGGACTGCATGATGATCAAAAACAAATATATTCCATTTTCTTATCACTTCATAACAATCTGAATGGAACCAAGTACTCAGTAAGCATTTGTCAATGAAGATCATCCCCAATGATCTGTCAGGTGAGGAAACTAGAATCCAAAGTAATTTGCTCAAGGTCACAGGGTCAGGAAAGAATATGAACTATGGCCCAGATCTCTTTCTATACTGGTCTAACACTAAAATCTTTCCAAAATCCTTTTTTAAAAAAAATACCGTGATATTAGTCCTCCCTTCCAAGATCACTAAATCTGTAATCATTTAACCATCAAATAATATTGCCTGACTTCACTACATCATGGGGCAGCAGGATCAGGAAAAAACAACTACCTTTCTTTCTACATCATTAACCTAGAAAATCAAAAGTTCTAAAGAGGGGCACCTGGGTGGCTCAGAGGGCTAAGCCTCTGCCTTCCGCTCAGGTCATGATCCTAGAGTCCTGGGATAGAGCCCCGCATCCGGCTCTCTGCTCAGCAAGGAGCCTGCTTCCCCCTCTCTTTCTCTGCCTGCCTCTCTGCCTACTTGTGATCTCTGTCAAATAAATAAATAAAATCTTAAAAAAAAAAAGCTCTAAAGAGAAAATTAGGGCAAACCCCTTGTCTTTGTCCAAAATTGAGAGATCAGAAGTATTTAAGACAAATGATGATTTCATTTTAAACCATATGGTCTAAATTTAAGCAGTGTGATTAAAAAACACAAAAACAAACCCTAGTAACACAATGCTTCCTGAGAGTATAGCACATAACTTCTTTAATTTTATAATCAAAGCTATGCCACTTGATTCAAAGCAGATTCAGAAAGTTAAATGTAAAAGATTGTCAGAGAATGTCAACTTTATTGCTTGCTTTATTTTTATTAAAAGAATACATGCCTGACATTGAAACCTTCCATTAACACCTTCCTAGTGTTATCAAGTTAGGAGTGAAGAAAACCATTTGGCAGTCACAGTTTTCTAGACGGTTCGTAACAGAAGAGTCAAGGTCAAACTGTTGAGTCTCTTTATCCTCCTACCTCCTAAATGAAAAGCAACTGAGCTCAAAATACTCTATACTGGTACTCTCACAAATACAATGTCAGCTCAAGGATCACACTCTGGCTTAGAGAAGACAGGCTGACATGAACAACAAAAGGGTAAATAGGGCAGATGCTCCAAACAGCACCTCGGTGACACTCAAGAGAGCACAAACTTTCACCTACTTTCTAGCAGTTTTATAGCCTATCCAATGGGAATTATATCACCAGATGATTATATGAATTAAATGATAAGATGAGGAATTAAAACAGTCTTGCAATCTTGCATAGATGAGAGACTACTGCTACCATTACTATTTACTATGTCTGGGCCAAGAAAGCCCCCTCGCATTCTTGGCTGTATGTTCCGCAGGATCCTTTAAAAATGGAACAGGGTACCAATCTCGTCTACAGCCTCCGGGCCTGGCAATCGTAGAAGGCCCTGGTTAGCAGGGCTCTGCTGCCTAGAGATGGGAAGTGAGGCCTTCAGACTCTGGGCCTAGCGGGCTCCACAACGACCGCGCCCCCCAGTCACCTTGTCCTCACCTTGAGGAACGGAAAAACACCCTACAAGAGAGCGGAGTGGAGTCTTCAAAAAGGGGTGCCTCCACTCTTCACCTGACAGCCGTTGCTTGGACCTACGCTTCCCACGGGGCGGGGACAGGACTGGGAGAGCGGAGCCGGGGACGCCTTGACCTCGGGCGCGGGAGGAGCGGACACCCGCGCTAGGCCCGCGGCCCCGACAGGTCCACGGAAAGTCGGCGGGAGGTCGGGCCCGCCTCGCCTTGCCTCGCCCACAGCCGCAGGCTCAGTAGGAGGCTCCCCGCCCTCGTGAACCCAGAGGGCCCTGAGCTCGCTCACCTGCAGCCGGGTCACCAGTAGGCTGTAAGGCGCCATTTTGTGCACTGACAAAGATTAGTCGCGTAAAGATGACGTGAACCACGGCGTATTTAAAGCTTTGGGGCAGAGGCGTGGCCTGGAAGAGAAACGCGTAACGGTAAAGGCGGGGCCTCGGTAGAGGGACGAGAGCGCGGGAGCTCATTGGGCGGAGCTCCCGTGTTAGAAACCGAGGCCTGAAAGGAAAAGAGCTGCATAAAAACACTTGCGGAAGTAAATACCAGACACAAAGATGTGCTATCGAAGGGCAAATTTCAGTTGTTTCTTCCATCCAAATCTGGGAAAGGCAATTTTTTTAATGACTTCCATGCATCTGCCAGGACCTGGCTCCCAAGCCCCGACGGAAACTCCTCTATTTTTTAACTTAAGGCTTAGATCACGCGAGAGCGAGCGCGGGCGAGCGAGCGCGAGCGGGTCTTGATGAAGCCTGGAGAACCAATCACGGCGACCGGGGGGCTGGAAAATGGAGGTTAAAGTTCGGACGGAAGTTCTCTAAGCTTCCGGTGGCCGGCTTGCGCTGGAACTATGGCTAAACATCATCCGGATTTGATTTTCTGCCGCAAGCAGGCTGGTGTTGGTGAGGCAGCTTCCTGCACCCGGCTGTCAGGGTGGGGATGGTGTCAGGAGCTGGAGGGTGGGAGGTGGTCAGAGGTTCCGATCTCATCCTTAGGGTTTTGCCTCGGAGGCGCCACGTTTCCCGCCTCACGGTTGGTAGCATGGGAGCGCGCGCGTTTGTGGTCTCTGATGCGAAGAGGGCGGGGGCGCGCGTGCTGGGAGTCAGGCGGGCGGCGGGAGTGAGGTCCGAGGAAGCTCAGATTGCCCAGGACCTGGGAGCGGTCTGAGAAGGGTGTGGGTTTGCTTCGGATGGAAGCTTACGGTGAGGGTTAGATGGATAGGAGCCCTTAGGGCTCACTGCAGTCCCTGCTGTGTCGCCACCCCAGACTCGAGGATCTTTCCCCTCTTCGTCAAAACCAATTCTAATTGTACTCTTTACCATCTTTGATCTTGCAGCCATCGGAAGACTGTGTGAAAAATGTGAGTGAACACGCCCTCCCAAACACCCCACTCCTTTCCCTCACAGTTTGTTTAAAGCCGGCAAACGGGCATTTCCAGCAGTGCCACAAAGAGGGTTTTGGGTAGATGTGCCTGGCAGTTTGTGAACATTGAGTACCAGGCTGCAACCAAAGCCCTCTCCATCTCTCCGTTGCAACTTGTACATTTTAAACGTTATGTTTGGGTTTTTGAGAAAATCTGTAGCTTTGGCCAGGAGATAGCCTGACCCTGTCCCCAAACTACCCATACACAGTTCTTTGCCAGTAGTGATGGAAACTTCTTGTCTATGAGGTGATGTTCTAACCTCTTTATATATTAGTTGGTTAACTTACTCGTTGAAGGGATTGAGAGGGACACAGGGTTAGCTGAGTTTTGTAATACCAAAATAGAGAGTCGTAAAGTCACTAGCGGGTGGAGACCACTGTATTTTCCCCATAGCAGGAGCAGGTCAGTAGACTTAAGGAGGTACTTGTATGTGGGCTAATTCCATTCTCTCTTCTTCCCAGGTGATGGCAAGTGTGTGATCTGTGACTCCTACGTGCGTCCCTGCACTCTGGTGCGCATATGTGATGAGTGTAATTATGGCTCTTACCAGGGGCGCTGTGTGATCTGTGGAGGCCCTGGAGTCTCGGATGCCTATTATTGTAAGGAGTGCACCATCCAGGAGAAGGATGTGAGTGTACACTAAGCTTTCCATCTGACCTTTGCTGCTTTTATTTAGTAACTCTTGCCAACCAGGGCAAACTCTTATGGCCCATAGAGATTACTATGTTCAGCTAGGCACGCAGGTTATAATTTCCTCAAGTTCTGTGAGGTCAGCTGGGTGTCGTCCAATAAAAGGCAGTTATTTTGCATCAAGGGCTGAAATGCAACAGAAACAAAACTTTGTCAACGTCAGCAATTTGGAGAGCCCTCTCTCTACTCCTTTGATGTCTCTCTTTAATTATTCTTTTTTTTTTTTAAGAAGCTTATTTATTTGGGACGCCTGGGTGGCTCAGTGGGTTAAGTCGCTGCCTTCAGCTCAGGTCATGATCCCAAGGTCCAGGGATCGAGTCCCGCATTGGGCTCCTTGCTCAGCGGGGAGCCTGCCTCTCGCTCCACCTCTCTCTCCACCTCTGCCTGCCTCTCTGCCTGCATGTGTGCTTTCTCTCTCTCTTTCTGACAAATAAATAAAATCTTAAAAAAAAAAAAAGGAAGCTTATTTATTTGACAGACAGAGATCACAAATAAGCGGTGGGGTGGGGGGGAAGCAGGCTCCCTGTTGAGCAGATAGCTTGACTCGAGGCTCCATCCCAGGACCCTGAGACCATGACCTGAGCCGAAGGCAGAGGCTTAACCCACTGAGCCACCCAGGCACCCCTCTGATTATCCTTCTTCAGAAACAATATCCTGCCTTTGTGAGTCCAGGCACAGTGCACAGTAGGTAATAGCTGCTCAGTCATTTTCTTTCCTATTGTGAAAGATTGTTGGAGTGGATGTGGTGACAGTTGAATTTGGGACACCTCAAGTTGATTTCCACTTTAACTCGCTAAAGAATGCCTTTGGGCTGATAGTGCAGGATTATGATTCTGTCTCGTGACATTTTTGCTCCTTGATATTTTGTAGTGGCGGTGGCTACTTATTCAATTCCTTTAGTCAAATGCCAGGATAGGGGGCTTGTAGATCTATAATAAAAGCAAGTTTTACTATTTTTGTTTAGGTTGGAAGCAGGAGCCTTCTTAGAGGGTGGGGACTGTGAATCTGCTTGTTTTCTTCTTATGTATGACACACTAAAAAGTGTGGGGACGCCCAGGTGGCTCATTTGGTTAGGCATCTGCCTTCGGCTCAGGTCATGATCCCAGGACCATTTATTAGCTGAGTGACAGACTGTAAAATGGGGATAACGTGGGACACCTGGGTGGCTCAGTCAGTTAAGCGTCTGCCTTTGCCTCAGGTCATGATCCCAGGGTCTTGGGATAGAGTCCCACATTGGGCTCCTTGATCAGCGGGGGGGCCTGCTTCTCTCTCTGCCTGCTGTGCCACTCCTGCTTGTGCTTCTCTCTGACAAATAAAATCTTTAAAAAAAAATTTTTTTTTTTAAGTGTCATAATAGTATCGCTAATAGAAGGTCCCTGGTTACCTAAATCTAGGGTAAGGTAAGAGATACATGAGGGATGCCATGGTGGCTCAGTAGAATGAGGAGCCAGCTCTTGGTTTCAGCTCATGTCATGATCTCAGGGTCCTGGAATCTAGCTGGGGTCAGGCTTGCGCTCAGCAGGAAGTCCGCTTGAGGCTTCTCTGTCCCCCACTCTTCCCCCCTCTCATGGGGGCACATTCTCTGTCAAATAAATAAATCTTTTGTTTTTAATTCTCTCTCTTTTTTTAAGATTTTATTTGACAGAGAGAGACGGAGGGTGCTCCTGTGCACACACAGGTGCGTGCCTGCACAACAGCCCCAGCAGGGGGAGCTGCAGAGGGAGAGGGAGAAGCAGGCTCCAGGATGAGAGGAAGCCTGGGACTGGATGGCAGGATCATGACCTGAGCTGAAGGCAGACACTCAACTGACTGAGCCACACAGGCGCCCCTCAAATAAATCTTAAAAAAAAGATACATGATTCTTAACATTCCCACATACACAGTAGATAGTTTATAGATGTCATCCTTTATTCTTCACAATAACTTTGTTAAATAGGGATTATTGTTATCCTTTTTTTTTTTTTTTTTTAGATTTTTATTTATTTATCAGAGAGAGAGAGCACAAGCAGGGGGAGCAGCAGGCAGAGGGAGAAGCAGGTTCCCTGCTGAGCAAGGAGCCCCATGTAGGACTCTATCCCAGGAAGCCAGGATCATGACCTAAGCCAAAGGCAGATACTTAACTGACTAAGCCACCCAGGCGTCCCATGTTATCCCCATTTTACAGTCTGTCACCAGCTATTAAATGGCAGGCGCAGATTGTCTGACTAAAGCTCATGGTGTCCCCATTACACCTTGTCATCCTTTCGTAAGTCCTTCTGGGAGGATGTGCCCATGTTGAGTAGAAACACCCAGCCTCCTGAGTTTGTATATTTGGAGCCTGTCTAGCCCCAGGAAGGGGGACGTATCTGGCCAGATGAAACTGTTTCTTACACCATTATGTCTTCTAATTTTTTAGGGAGGTGAGAAAGGATATAGATAAACTACCAAAAACATAATTTCAATTGGTGATTTGAACATTACCCTGTCCTGAACTCTGATTTGCATTTATCTTTGTGTGTCAAAGCATATCTCCGTCCATCTGACCTACCAACTGGGTTGTACCCCTTTAGAGAAGGGACCTTGGTTTCGCTATTTATCTCTCTTCCCACATTCTTGGTATAGTGTCTGGTATGTATTACAAGCATGGTCCATATTTCGGTGCTTCCTCTGTAAGCCATCCATAGTAGTGCCCCATGTAAAGTGTCTGGTATATAGTAAGTATTTGATATTTATAATCTGTAAGCAGTGAAACCACAGGAAGGCAACAGCAACGATGAGAAAACATGAATAGGTCTTAAACTAGCTCCAGAGTCCATAAGGACAACATGGTTGTAGCTGGAGTTCTTGTCTGGAATAAGCTTGTAATCAGAGCGCTTAATAAATGTTAATTATTGTCTGACTTGTCTGCATGTGGTACGTGAACTGATACCTTTGGATCTTAGTGCTTTGTTCCATTCCTGAGAATTATTCTAGACCTCACTCCGTCTACTTCACAATGTACAGGAGTGTTCTGAGGATACTTGAGACGGTATCTAGCTTACATTTATTCAGCAGTAGTTTCCAGAGGACACAGAGCAGTTTAGTGACATGATCCAACCTCTCAGCCTACAGATCTTCATGGAGATTAAGTCCCTCAGACGTTTTTCCTAGGCAGAAATCCTGCCATCAAAGCAAGCCGGAGTTCTCATACTCCTTCCTCTTCCTGCCATTTTCATAATTTATAAGGGAATTAGACCCGTGGACTAAATGGGTGTTCTCACTTAGTTTTTCAGCATCAAGAATACTCAGGAGTCCTGTCTGGGGCCACTGCTGCCAGAGGACTCATTTGTAGTTTCTACAGTGCCGCGTCATACTGATCTGATGTCTCCTTACCCCTCGATTTATCTCTTTTACTTACATTTTCTTCAGCTCTCCCAACCAGAAGACGAGGAGAATAGCCACTAACATTCGTGTGTGTGTGTGTGTGTGTGTGTGTGTGTGCCCCAAGCTGTGCTGAATGTTCTTTTCCAACAGGTCTTTGTGATACAAATGAGAAAACTAAAGCTTCCAGATGTTAAGCAACTTGGCCCAAGGTCACAGGGCTAATCAGTGGCAGATCCAGGCCTAGAACCCAAGTTGTCTGGCTCCTTGTTTCTCAGGTTTTTCATTTCACTATTGCCTCCCCACCCCCAAGAGAAAAGTTAAAATTCAAATTATATTTTCCCTCTAACGAGAGAAATTAAGTCCTAAGGAATAAGATTTCATTGGGTGAAGATAAACACCAACTGGTAATATTGAAGATGGTTTTATCACCTTTAAGAATTGGTGGTCAGGGGCGCCTGGGTGGCTCAGTGGGTTGAAGCCTCTGCCTTTGGCTCAGGTCATGATCCCAGGGTCCTGGGATTGAGCTCCGTGTTGGGCTCTCTGCTCAGCAGGGAGCCTGCTTCCTCCTGTCTCTCTGCCTGCCTCTCTGCCTGCTTGTGATCTCTGTCTGTCAAATTAAAAAAAATAAAAAATAAAAAAAGAATGGGTGGTCAAAGTCAAAGCATTTCCTCAAACCAGCGCACTGTGTTGCTCTTCTCAGGGTGGTCAAGGATGTGCCTCTCCCTCTTGCTATTTACATCATTCTCTTCCCCCTGTTTAGTGAACAGCAGAGCCATTATACTGAAAAAAAAAAGACACTTGGTACTTTTCAAAATTAATTCAGAAATTTACCTCCTTTACAACTACTACTACTTTTTTGGGGGGGGGTTAAGATTTCGTTTGTTTATTTGACAGAGATCACAAGCAGGCAGAGAGGCAGGCAGAGAGAGAGGGGGAACCAGGCTCCCCGCTGACCAGAGAGCCCAACGAGGGACTTTATCCCAGGACCCTGAGATCATAACCTGAGCCAAAGGCAGAAGCTTAACCCACTGAGCCACCTAGGCACACCCCTCCTTACAACTTCTTAAACCATGGGAAGGTTTTGTTTTTTGCCTCTGGAAAGCCCAAGTACTAAAAACACCAGACTAGGAGGCAAAAAGTTCATGTTCAAGTCTGCTTTGCTGAGAACATGTGGGTAGCTTTGGGGAATTCTCTCCAAAAAGGAAGTAACATCCCTGTTATTTCATGGATGCAGTTATAGAGAGCTTAAAGGCTTTTCAGATGGAAAACATGATACTATTGTTAAAGTCCCAACCAACGTGCAGTGTGGTTTTCACAGTATTGTTACTCACTAAACAGTTGTCAAAAGAATGAACAACACTTGGGGGCCTGGCTGGCTCAGTAAAGCCTGTGACTCAGGGTCTTGAGTTTGAGCTCCATGTTGGGCAGTAGAGTTTACCTTAAAAAAGCAAAACACAGGCACCTGGGTGGCTCAGCGAGCTAAGTGGCTGACTTGATTTCAGCTCAGGTCATGATCTCAACGTCCTAGGGTCGAGCCCCACATCAGGCGCCACCTTCAGTGTGGAGTCTGCTTGAGGAGACTCCCTCTCCACCCCCCTCCTGCTCACTCTTTCCCCGCCAAAAAGAAATCTCTCTCTCCTTTTTTTTTTTTTAATTAAAAAAAAACAGGCACCTGGCTGGCTCAGTCAGTAGAGCATGAGACTCTTGATCTCCGGGTTGTAAATTTGAGCCTCATGTTGGGTATAGGGATTACTTAAAAAAAAATAAAAACTTAAAAGAAAAAACAGAACAACGTGTTTAATTTCAATTAATAAAGCAAATCTTGCCACTGGCACCCATTTCATAATTCTTTGCTATCATTTGTAAGAAAGATGTGGACCCACTTTTCAGTAATTGTATTTTTCATTATTTTTAAGATTTACTTATTTGAGGAGTGCCGGGGTGGCTCAGTGGGTTAAAGCCTCTGCCTTCGACTCAGGTCATGGTTCCAGGGTCCTGGGATTGAGCCCTGCGTCCGGCTCTATGCTTGGCGGGGAAGCTACTTCCCTTCCTCTCTCTCTGCCTGCCTCTCTGCCTACTTGTGATCTCTGTCTGTCAAATAAATAAATAGTCTTTTTTTAAAAAAAGATTTACTTATTTGGGAGAGAGAGCACAAGCAGGGAGGAGAGGCAGAGGGAGAAGCAGACTCCCCACTGAGCAGGGAACCTTACATGGGGCTTGATCCCAGGACCCCAAGATCATGGCCCGAGTCAAAGGCAGACACCTAACTGACTGAGCCGCTCCCACAGGTGCCCCAGTAATTGTTTTTCTGACCTCAGACTTTTTTTTTAATTGCCTTTTCCTGCATTTCAGTTTTGTATAGATTTCCATTTGGTGTGTTCTGTTTTGGTAATGATAAGTGTTGGATTTAAAATATTACTTGGGGCACCTGGGTGGCTCAGTCAGTTAAGCTTCAACTCTAGATTTTTTTTTCTTTTAAGATTTTATTTATTTATTTCACAGACAGATCACAAGTAGGCAGAGAGGCAGGCGGAGAGAGAGGAGGAAGCAGGCTCCCCACCGAGCAGAGAGCCCGACGCAGGGCTTAATCCCAGCACCCTGGGACCATGACCCGAGCCGAAGGCAGAGGCTTTAACCCACTGAGCCACCCAGGCACCCTTCAACTAGATTTTGACTCAGGTCATGATCTCAGAGTCTGGGGATTGAGCCCGCACTACATCGGCCTCCGTGCTCAGTAGAGAGTCTGCTCCTCTCCCTCTGCCCCTCCCCCTGCTCGCTCCAGCATGTGAACTCCTGTGCACACGTGCTCGCTCACGCTCTCTCAAATAAGTCTTTAAATATTAAAATATTACTTGTGGGGGGCACATGGGTGACACAGTCCTTAAGTGTACAACTCTTGGTTTAGGCTAAGGTCATCTAAAGTGAGACCAAGCCCCGCATCAGGCTCTATGCTCAGTGGGGAGTCTGCTGAGACTCTGCCTCTGCCCCTTGGCCCTACTCACACTCTATGCCGCAAATAAATAAATAAATATTAAAAAATAAAGTAAAATAAAATATTACTTGAGGGGCGCCTGGCTGGCTCAGTGAAGCGTTTGACTCCATACTGGGCCTGAGAGTTCAAGCCCCACACTGGGTGTAGAGATTTCTTAAAAATAAAATATTACTTGAAAGTCCTGGGTTTTTGTCACTAGGTCAGGTTAGTGTTTGTAACTCGCTTTCCTGCTGAAATGGACTTATAATACAGTCCTCAGGAAGGAAACCCATAGGCATTGAGTTCTGCTTGGTGGTCACGGCAGGAGCCCAGCCTAGGGCTCTTCAGAGTTGTTTCAGTGGACACATTTAGTATAACTGAAACAAGCACTTGATATTCTGGTGTCTTTTTCAGTAAGCTCTATACTCACTGTGGGGCTCGAACCCACAATGCCGAGATCAAGAGTGAGTGCCCAACAGACTGGGCCAGCCAGATGCCCCTGGTGTCTACTAAAATGAAATTTTAGAAATTAAGTGGCCATAAGATGTATTTACTTGGCGCCTTCAATTCAAACTACAGCTGCCGAAAATAAAAGCCCCTGTGCTAGGAATGGGGAGATCTGTCGATCCTCTGGGGGGATCTGAGAAAGGATGAAATTTCTAGTATTCAGTCACTGCAGTTGCTAAAAGAACTACTGCCATAAGACAGACTTCTGCAGGTATTTTTATTTTTCTTTAATTTTTTTTAAAGATTTTATTTATTTATTTGACAGATCACAAGTAGGCAGAAAGGCAGGCAGAGAGAGAGAGGAAGGGAAGCAGGCTCCCTGCTGAGCAGAGCCCAACGCGAGGCTCAATCCCAGGACCCTGGGATCATGGCAGAGGCTTTAACCCACTGAGCCAGGCACCCCTTGCAGGTATTTTTTAAAATATCCCCTAGCTCAGCTCACAAATACTTGTATCATACTCTGAGGTTTCTTTTGTTTCTTGTTTCTTCTTAAGATTTTTTTATTTTTAAGTAATCTTTATACCCAGTGTGGGGCTCTAACTCACAACCCTGAGATCATGACCTGGACTGAGCCAACCAGGTGCCCCCATCCTCCAAGATTCTCTTTTCTCTCTCTCTCTCTCTCTTTTTTTTTTTTTTTAAAGATTTTATTTATTTATTTGACAGAGATCACAAGTAGGCAGAGAGGCAGGTAGAGAGAGAGGAGGGGGGGAAGCAGGCTTCCCGCTGAGCAGAAAGCCTGATGCAGGGCTCGATCTCAGGACCCTGAGATCATGACCTGAGCCGAAGGCAGAGGCTTCAACCCACTGAGCCACCCAGGCGCCCCAGCCTCCAAGATTTCTTAACAGTCCTTCCTTCTTCCTTATCCTGCTATCCATTTACAGGCATATTCAACAAAAGCCAGCCAGTTCCAGAGAGCACATCCTCACCTCATACAGTCATACAGTATTGGTAGAATCTGGGGATAAGTCAGTAAGGCAATAATAAGCCTAAACAGGCTATGCTAGCACAAAATTTCATAGCATCTCTAACGATAAAGAGGTTAGAGCACCCGGGTGTTTGGTATCAGGCCACTTCCACCATAAGAGGCAGGTTCACCCTCATTTGTACCAGAACTTTCAGTCCAGATTACACAGCCTGAGTTCACATCGGGAGCTGTTGGTGGGGCTGGGCCCACTCCCTGGCTCCCTCAGCACGCCGAACTCGTCAGACGGCAGTCCTCAAAGTAATACATACTACGTGTTTTTAGAAAATAATGAGATATTATTGTTGGCTTTGTGTGTTCCTAGAGGTTTTTGTGTGGTGTTGATATTGGTCCCCCAAAAGAGGTATCACCTAAGTTAGAAATGCGATGTCTAAGAACTTGATCAGTTCATTCATTCTAAAGTCCAGTGTCCCAGGGAGCAACCTCCTTTGACAGCAGTTTTTAATAAAATCAGGACTGTGAAGGTTTTATTCTAGTAGCATCTTCCCCAATTTTCCTCCCATCATCCCCGAGCAACTTACGTAGTCATTTCTGCAGAACACAGCTTCCCAGGGGCTTCACTGAAACCACTCAAGCGCACAGAATGGCCCAGGAAGATGTCATTACAAATCAGAGTACAGACCTTCAGTAGCCGTCTCTAGCGCAGGGGCAGTCTTCCCCCAAGACCATGTGTCAAATTAAATGAATTAATAAGGACACATCAAGCCCTATGGTATTTAACATGTAATGTATGATCTCCTAAAGCCTGTAGGTTTTTTGCCTTGGAGGTCGTCTTCTCTTTCTTGAGATAGTGGAGGAGAGCTAGAGAGCTTGATCTATAGAGGATCATTACAGGGTTTTTACCTCTCACTTGAAGGAAACCCATTGGAATCTTTAAGAGTTACATTCTACCTCAGCTACATCATATTAGCGACAGGAGTGGGCGGAGAATCCAGCATTCGAAGTGGGGGCCTCCCTGGCTGGAGAGTGGAATAAATTCTCGAGGATTGATGGACTAGGATAACTGGATGGATAAAGTAAATGGCCAAATCCACTGATCCAAAGGTTTTTTGTTTTTTGTTTTTTTAAGATTTTATTTATTTATTTGACAGTCAGAGATTACAAGTAGACAGGCAGGGGTGGAGGGAAGCAGGCTCCCTGCTGAGCAGAGGGGCTCTATCCCAGGACCCCGAGATCATGACCTGAGCCAAAGGCAGAAGCTTTAACCCACTGAGACAACCAGGCGCCCCCCAAAAGTTATTTTTATTTTCAGTCCCTCTCAGTTCAGACTCAGAGGCTTTTAACAACTTCTCTATCCTGTTTTCCAGAGAGATGGTTGCCCAAAGATTGTTAACTTGGGGAGCTCTAAGACCGATCTCTTCTATGAACGCAAAAAGTACGGCTTCAAGAAGAGGTGATTGGTGGGTGGCCACCCCACCACCCCCCAGCTACTGCAGCTTCCACGAAAGATAGCGACCACTACCAGCACAGAGGGAGGAGAGCCCTCGTCCACGGGCCCCCCTCCACCTTTCCTCCTCTTACCCAGACATGTGATAGCGACAGAAAAGGAATCTTCAGACCCCACTCTAGCAGACCAGAGCAGAGAAAAATTGATAGATTGGCTCATGGTTTTTCTTGAATTCAAGAAACAAGAATGTTTTCCAAATGGCTATGTTCTCTCTACACTAAGAGCTGCTGCTGCTGCCGCTTCTTTAACACCAAGAGCTTCTGAAACAGGAATGATACCATCTCAGTCTCCTGTTTGAGGAATTAACTGTGACGCTACCGCAGCGAGAAGCCTGTTCTTCGCAGCAGCCCTGACGGAGGAGACCTCTGCCGGGTTGGGGGGAGCTCTCGAACAATCAGCGCGGGCACTGAGTTTTTTAACACTTAGCAGGTGCCGCCTGTTCATGTTATGTTCCTTCTAAGAACTTGGAAACCCTTTCTGTTGCTGTTGTGTTAATAAAGCAGGTATTTCTTTTCTGGTACTCGGTCACAGTCCCAATTTAAGTTTGGCTCTAGGAATTTATTTTAGTCACCCAGGAATTTGTGATTCAGGATAGACGTCTTGGGATTCATCAACCACCGTGTTTTCTTAGTATTGCAGGACGGGATTCTGAACCATCGGTACCCTTCGTTATAGGTAAATCAAGGTTGTTTTTAGAAGCTATTTTTTTCTTTCTGTTCAACTTTAATTTGAACTGAAGAAATGACTTCTGATAATGGTCGCAGGAATGAGACAAAATGTATTCAAATTGACGAGTTCAGAGAACAGAAATTGGTTGATTCATTATACAAAGTGGACATATACTTACATATATGTCTCCCCCCTCCTTTTTTTAAGTAAATACACAGAATAAGGGCAAATCCAGACATACTCTTTACCCTAACACATCTATACGTTTTGCCTACTAGAGGTCATCAGCAGGTTATCCGAAAGAGGCACAAACATAATTTGAGGTTTGAGTCAAGTGGTCTTTAACACCATGGACTTGAAACACATTTTGAGTCCTTAGGAATACTGCGGTTTAGTCCAGCTGAAATTTAGCAGCGAAGCCAAGGAAAAAAATTACAGTCTTCTGACCATTTGTCAGAGCTTTGGTTAGGATCAACAGAACACCTGATTAATTGGGATATATTGAGGGTCAAAAATTAAAATATAAAATAATCTCTGCCTTCAAGAAGTTTCATGATGAGGGGCACCTGGGTGGCTCGTAGGTTAAAGCCTCTGCCTTCAGCTCTGGTCATGATCCCAGAGTCCTGGGATGGAGCCCCGCATGGGCCTCTCTGCTCAGCAGGGAGCCTGCTTCTCTCTCTCTTTGCCTGTCTGCCTACTTGTGATCTCTCTCTCTCTCTCTGTCAAATACTTAAAAAAAAAAAAAAAAATTCATGATGAAGGCAGCCAGAAACAGCTTAGACTAACCCAGGGAGGATGCACAAAGGAAGTTTCTTAGCCCAGGTTGGGGGCACCTCTGGAAAACCAGTGGAAGGTCATAGCCACGGGGAGGTAACGATAAAGCTTTACCACCTCCTCTCCTACCACTCTTCACACTGTAGCCACTGGGGCTCATTTCAGTTCCTCAACTGCTGGTTTCCTTGCCGCTCAGTACTTTTCACCTATTAAGTGCTCTCTAATGCTTGGTGCCGCTTTTGTCCAGGTGTTACACATCCTTCGGACCTTAAATATTTCCTCAAAATATGCCTCTCCTGGCCCCAATCTAAGTTCATTCCTCTTGTAATACCACATAGCACCATAGCATTTTGTTGATAGTGTTTGGCGATTTTTTTTTTAAAGATTTTATTTATTTATTTATTTGACAGAGAGATCACAAGTAGGCAGAGAGAGAGGGAAGCAGGCTCCTCGCAGAGCAGAGAGCCCGATGCGGGGCTCGATCCCAGGACCCTGAGATCATGACCTGAGCCGAAGGCAGAGGCTTTAACCCACTGAGCCACCCAGGCGCCCTGGCGATTTTTTTTTTTAAGATTTTATTTATTTGACAGAGAGACACAGCGAGAGGGAACACAAGCAGGGAGAGTGGGAGAGAGAGAAGCAAGCTTCCTGCAGAGCAGGGAGCCTGATGCAGGGCTCAGTCCCAGGACCCTGGGATCATGACCTGAGCCGAAAGCGGACGCCTAACAACTGAGCCACCCAGGCGCCCCAGTGTTTGGTGATTACTGACAGTGTCCCATTAGGCTGGCTCCATGGTGGCAGTAACCAACCTTTCGGCCCAGCAGGCAGCAGCTCCCCAGTATTAAATGAGTAATTGAAGTCAAACTGGATAATAAACTGGGCTTTGAAGGATATATTGGAATCTACAGGCAAAGGGGGTGGGGTGGGCATTTGTGTGGGGGAAGCAACCTGAATGGGCAATGGGTTTGGGGAGCTCTCTGAGCAATCCTAAAGTGTGGGTCAGGAGGATTATGGTGTGTCAAAATTGTAGAAACCAGGTAATTTTCAGGTTAGAATTTGTCACTGATGGGGCGCTTGGTTGGCTCAGTGGGTTAAAGCCTCTGCCTTGGGCTCAGGTCATGATCTCCCTTCCTGGGATCCAGCCCCGCATCAGGCAATCTGCTCAGCAGGGAGCCTGCTCCCCTACCCCGCCGCCCCGTCTCTCTGCCTGCCTCTCTGCCTACTTGTGATCGCTCTCTCTGTCAAATAAATAAATAAAAATCGTTAAAAAAAAAAAAGGCAATTAAAAAAAAATGTGTCACTGATCCTAAAGTAATTTTAGTTTTAATGTGTACTGTAAGTCAAGATGTTTTGTCTGGATAAAGACAAATCAACTTTTAAAATTTGCTTCTTAACCCCCCTGGTCCATATAACATCTTGCATTTGCAAATTTGTCAAAAGCTACTCCTTAGTTTCAGCAAAACACCACTTCAGGGGCGCCTGGGTGGCTCAGTGGATTAAGCCTCTGCCTTTGGCTCAGGTCATGATCTCAGGGTCCTGGATCTCGAGCGGGGAGCCTGACCCCCGCCCACCTGCCTCTCTGCCTACTTGTGATCTCTGTCTGTCAAATAAGTAAATAAAATCTTAAAAAAAAAAACAAAAAACACCACTTCAACTGTGCTCCATCCATCAGCCTCCGTGAGCGAACCTCTGAAAGGTACTGCAAGTTAATATGAATGCCCAATTTCAAGGGCATACCCCCTCCATGCTCCGTTGCTTAATAGGGCAAGTTCAACCTCAACCCAGTGAATTCTAATGAACTCTGCTCCTCTGTCACCTACTTTCATAATCCCATTCTTGGTTTGTTTCCTTTCCAAGGCCAAGAGAACAATACAATGAATGAGTTCAGAACACCTGTGATCAAGTGAATGGCCTTGAAGTTCAAATCCTTAATTGTCCATTTTGGAATTTCAAGTTCAGTCCTCTTCAATTTTAAAAATTAGGATAATAACAGTACCAAATTATCTGCTGTTGGGAAAACATAACTTATAAACGAATTTTAACCTCTAACACTATATATACAATTCTGTGGAGAAAATTCGAAAATTATCTCAGCCAACTGTGTATGTCTACAAAAAATCAAAATGGTCTTAAAAATTATTAAGTGCTTGGGGCACCTGGGTGGCTCAGTGGGTTAAAGCCTCTGCTTTCAGCTCAGGTCATGATCCCAGAGTCCTGGGATCAAGTCCCACATCAGGCTTTCTGCTTGGTGGGGAGCCTGCTTCCTCCTCTCTCTCTCTCTGCGTACTTGTGATTTCTGTCTGTCAAATAAATAAATAAAATCTTTAAAAAAAAAAAAATTCTCTCCCTCTACTCCTCCCCACCTCAAAAAAAAAAAAAAAAAAAAAAGCACTACCTAAAAAATAAACAAGCATACCTACATAGGTCTAGTTGAAATAATTGAACTCATCATGGTCAGCCTGAGAAAGCAGTGCCCTTTCCCAGATTTATGGTAATACTATTATTTATTAAGTATTCAGTATTTGATATTCATTTCTAGGTTTTAAAAAGGATGGGTGTCCTCCAGTTTCTCAAGTATACTATACTTAATTTCCTTTAAACATTACACTTATTCCATGTGCTCTTGCTTTTAAAAAAAAAGTGGGGCACCTGGGTGGCTCAGTTGGTTAACTCAGTTGACAGCCTTCTGCTCAGGTCATGATCCTGGAGTTCCAGAATCCAGTCCCATGTTGGGCTCCCTGCTCAACAGGGAGTCTCTTTCTCCCTCTGACCCTGCCCCCCTCATGCTCTCTCTCTCTCTCTCAAATAAATAAATAAGATCTTTTTAAAAATTAATTTTTTAGGGGTGCCTGGGTGGCTCAGTGGGTTAAAGCCTCTGCCTTCGGCTCTGGTCATGATCCCAGAGTCCTGGGATCAAGCCCCGCATTGGGCTCTCTGCTTGGCCAGGAGCCTGCTTCCCTTCCTCTCTCTCTGCCTGTCTCTATGCCTACTTGTGATCTCTGTCTGTCAAATATATTAATAAAATCTTATAAAAAATTATTTTTTTTAAAGTAATTAGAAGTGTGTGGGCCGGGGTGCCTGGGTGGCTTAGTTGTTAAGCATCTGCCTTCGGCTCAGGTCATGATCCCAGGGTCTTAGGATCGAGCCCCACATCAGACTCCCTGCTTCCTTCTCCCTTTCCCACTCCTCCTCCTTGTCCTCACTCTCTCTGTCAAATAAGTATTTTTTTAAATGTGTGGGCTTTATAATCAGACCTGTACTTGAATTCTGCTCTGCTGTCGATCTTTAGTGAGTTATTTAGCATCTTTTTGCTTCTTTTCTTTTTTAATCTATTAAATAAGGATAGGGACACCTGGGTGGCTCAGTCAGTTGGGCGTCTGCCTTAAAACTCCGGTCATGATCTCAGGGTCCTGGGATCCAGCCCTGTGTCGGGCTCTCTGCTTAACAGGGAGTCTTGCTTCTCCCTCTCCCTCTGTGCTTGCTTTCTCTTTTTCTCAAATAACTAAAACCTTTTAAGAAATAATAAGGTTGGGGCACCTGGGTGGCTCAGTGGGTTAAAGCCTCTGCCTTTGACTCAGGTCATGATCCCAGGGTCCTGGGATCGAACCCCGCATTGGGCTCTATGCTTGGCGGTGAGCCTGCATCCCCCCTCTCTCTGCCTGCCTCTCTGCCTGCTTGTGATCTCTGTCTGCCAAATAAATAAATAAATAAAATCTTTAAAAAATAATAAGATTAACAAGGCTTAGCTCTTCAGGTTGTACGAATTAAATTTGACCTTATAAGTTCCTTACCCTTATTGGGGAAGTCTTCACATAAATGGTAATTTTTTTTCCAGTAGGTTCCTACTTTTTCATAGGTACATTTAAGTCCTGGCATGGAAGGGCCTCAAAATGGTTCCCTCTTCCCTATCCGCAAGATTTTCCTTATCTCGCTTCTCTCTGAGCTCTTCCATCAGGCAGTTAAAGGGACATTCCTTGCCCATATCCTGTCCTCTTGGCTCTCTATTTCCTTTGTTCGAAATAGCCTCCCACAATCACATGAGCCAGCCAACTGGGTACCTCTTCCTTCTAAGCTCCT